TTTACCTGTCTGCCTTTCCCATAGAGACCGCGTGTGTCACTCTCAGAGTGCCCCAGTTCCTCGTTCTGGGCTGGCACAAGGAGGGGCTCAGGGCATGTTTGTGAATGAGTGAACCACTCAGAGGCAGGAGTTAGTACCCACGTGCTTGATCCCACACATCTTTTGTAGGACGTGGGCTTAATGGAAGCTCCTCATCCCGCAGTCTGGCCAGGTCAGGGGTGGGGATGATACGGGGCCCTCGGGTTGATGCAGTGCCTCCAATCTGAAGGTGAGGCTGCAGGTTAGGGGCCAGTCACCCTGCCGCTGATAGAGGGCTGGTGGTTCTGTAACTGGAAGACGGGCAGGGGGACCAGGTTGCACACTCAGCCAGGGAGCTGGCCTGACCTTGTGGATTCAGAAACAACCAGAGGCGCTTTTGCCCTTCCTTCCCCACCTCCCACTTCCAATGTAGTGAGGGGTTCTGGAGTGGGTGCCAGGTCCTGTGAAGCCGGGCCTGTGGGGATGGATGAAGGGGCACCCGTGAACCCCACCATACCCGCGGCCGATCCGGGTTTACACAGAGGCTCATCCAAGATTAGCCCCTGCACTGGCTAATCCCTGCAGCCGAATCGACCCCGGTGTCCTGGAGCCAGGCCCACGCCGCGCGGGCGGGGGACAAGCTCCCCGCTGAGCAGGGGCGCTGGCAGGGAGTAGGGGGTGGGGGTGACCGGGAGCCCCGGGAGGCGGGGCCAGGAAACCGGCTGATCCGGTCTCCGTGCTTGGACGGCTCCCGAGAGGGTGTTTACCCGGGAGCCGGAGTGAGGAGGCCGGCGCTCAGCTGGAAGGGGGAGGAGGAGAAGGAGGGAGCGAGGGGAGAAACGCAGTCGGAGAAGAGGACCGAGACCTTTCTGGGTCCCCAAATCGACTTGCAACCCTCGTGCCTGAAGCGTGGGAGGGAGCGACAGACAGATGCCTCCCGTCCCTGTTCCCATCCAGCACGGCAGGCATTTCGTGCTTGTTGCCAAAGGCGGGGGAGCGGGAATGGGTCCATGCTCCTGGGTAGGAGGCAGCACAGCGCAGCTGCCCAGCTCCGCACCCCACACGCACCCCTAGCCTGCACCTCAGCTCCTATGGGGTTAGGGTGCCTGGGGCGGATCGGCTCAGCGATCGGCTGGGGGGCTCTTGGAGGTGCATGAAGTAAAAAGTCTGTCCTCGGCCTGCGACCTCCCGCCCCCATTCCGCTCGGCGCAGGATCGATCCCGGCGTGGGTCCGGGCCCCTCTCCCCCGAGCACGTCCCCCGGCCCGATCCGAAGCCTCGGACCCCAGAGGTGGCCTCCAGTGCCCCCGGGGATGCAGGCCCGAAGGCCCGGAAGAAGCGACGTGGGGTCCGGTTTTCACACTTTTATTGTAAAGCTCGGGAATAATTACACGGGTCTTCCATTGACAGCTCAGCAAACAAACCGGAAACGAACCGAACCGGAGGGGCGGGGGCGGGGGCGGTGCCTGCGCATGCTCGCGGCGGGGGTGGGGTGGGGGTGGGAGGGGATCAGAGAAAGAGAAAGACAGAAAGAGACAGAAATCATTACAAATCAACGGGATTGTGCTCGCAGCGCCAGGGAGGGAGGGGGTGGCGGTGGGGGTGGCGCGGGGCCGGGGCGGGGCCCTTCCCGGGGGAGCGAGGCGGTGGGAAGCGGCACGAACCGAGAGAAACACGACCCCAGTGTGGGCGCCTGACGCGCCCCAAACCCCCCTCCCCGACCCCACCCCCCGACACACGAGAGAGACACGGCCCCCCTCCCCACTCAGATACCCAGAGGAGACACGGTCTCCTCCTCCCCGGGGGCAGTCACACCCGCCGGGGGACCCCGCGGGCGAGACACAGTCCCCCCTCCCAGAGAAGTCCCACGTAGAGACGCCCCCGAAGAGACTCTCATGGCCAACTCGAGCCCTCCCACCACCAGGAGACAGCCCCCACCCAGGGAAGAAATGGCTCCAGAGGCAGGGGCCCCCTCAGGAGAGAGAGAGGTACCCCAGACCCCCTAGGAGAAAAGACAACTCAAGAGTTGTCCAGTCTTGCCCCAAAGTGCTGCAGGTCGGAGACCCCCGGAGCAGAGGTGCAGGGAGGGCCAGGGACATCCCTTCCCGGACATGCTTCAGAGATCGCTCCCTTCCCTGGGAAGGGAGGTGGCCCACCACGGACATGCCTTAAGTGCTCCCAGGAATCCTGGGAGGAAAACAGGCTCCCCAGGGAGCCTGGGTAAGGGGAGACACGCTCCCATGGTCCCCAGCGGGAATACATGTCCCCTCAGAGACTCCCGAGGGGAGAGAGAGGGGCTAGGGAGCCCCCAGAGGTGAGGGATGCTCCAGAGACCTTCCCCCTGGGACAGGAGATACACTTCAGAGACCCAGGGAGGAAAATATGTCCCCGTATACCCTCCCCCCCACCGAGAGACATGCTCTGAAGTAGGGGGTGTGGGGGCCGGCTAGGTCCCCTCTAGGAAGACACTGACTGGGTCCGGCTGGCTTTGAGGGGGTCTCCTCTGGCCACATGTCGCCTATTTGTACATAAAACTGTACGCGACACAAGGCATTGGGGAAGGGCCTTGCAAACCTAGGACCAGCAGGAGCGGTCCCCGGTGCTGTCCCCCGTCCCCTGCCCACCTTTGGTTTCACCTCTCAAGTGCCCAGGTGGTGACAGACGCGGCGTACCCCGACCCCAACCAGGGGGCCGGGAGCTCTGCCTTGGTCTGGGGAAGGGCCCCTCCTCTGTGCTTCTCAGCCCTCCCAGCCATCTGGGCAGCCCCTTCCTTCTGGCTTCTCCATTGTGCAAAACGCTTCCCTGCCCTTCCGCCCGGTGCTCAGGGGTCTCCAAGGCCAGAGCTGGATGCCCTGGCCACCAGGAGCTTCTGGGGGCGTCCACTGACCCCGGGAATGCCTCCTGTCTGGACCACCCTCTCCACCGAGCAAATGGGCCTCCTACAATCTGCTTGCAAGGATCCCGACCTCCAAGACCCAGGAAGCCACTGCCCCACCAGCCGGGCGCCTCATGTTAACCAACTCCACCGCTATTGCACCTGCCCCGTTTGTGCAGGGGGAAGGGGCTGTCTCTTTAACGAGCCCCAGCCCACTTCCTGGGCCTTCCCCAGGGAAAGGAGCCTTTGGCTAACCCCTAGACCTGGTTGCTGCCACCCCAGCTCAGTCTACCCCCTGCCTTCCGTACAAGAGCTGTGTACGCTGAGGCCACCAGCATAACCATGCTCTCCTTCCCAGCAGTTATTCGAAGCCGAGTTGGGGGCAAGGAGCAGAGTTTAGGATAATTCCTCAGCCCCCTGGCTTTTCTGCGGTGGAGGTGGGGGTCTCTGGGGTTACAGGGGTCAAGACCCCAGCAACACAGCTCCCAAAGGCACCAGACAACCCAGCAGCCTGTACCCGCCTCTCCCACCCTTGGGCCACCCCCCAAGCTTAGACTAAGCCAAGCAAGGGCCATACCCTGAGTCTCCAGACTCCCAGCCTGGGCCTCTGGGGCGCTGGAGAGGTATGGGCCAAGGCAATGGGGGGTTCTGGAAGGAAGAGGGACTGAGGCTTTGAGATGGCCACAGTGGGAGGCGGGGGCTCTACAGGATGCCCCTCACACCCTGGCCCCCTGAGGTGAAGGAAGGAATCCCACCTCATCATGGCTGACTGGGCTTCTCTGACCCCCAATCTCCCTTACCCGTTCCCCCATGGGACCCCTGACCTTGGCAAAGGGAAGCCCAACTGGAAGAAGGGGGCCAGGAGCCCAGGGTGCCGTGAGGCAGCCCTTCCCACCCCGAGATCAAGGCAATGGTGGTTTTACAGGCTGACGGGTCAGTCATGGCAGGGGCTGGGGGCTGGGGGGCAGGGAGGAAGCAGGATGCAGGTCCCCCCTATTGGGGGCAGCAGTCAGCCACCCCCTGAGCAAACCTTCCTGCTCCCAATGCACCCAACCAGGCCAGAGGCACAGTCGTCCCACCCCTGTCTGGCTGCCCCCACAGTCTCGGGGCCCCTCTGTGATGCTCATCGGGATGTGGGAGGGCCAGCCTGAGCGGGGACCCCCCCCCAGGGCACAGCGCAACAGTTCCAAAAAAATAGAGATTTGTATTTTTTTTCTAAAAAAAAATTAAATAAAAGCCCAGCTCTGCTGATAGGCGAATGTTACCCCCGTCCCCACCCCCACCCACCTGTTGTTTCCCTGGCCTGCACCCCCATCCCGCCACGGCCCCAGGTATTTACAACATGGAACAATAGAGGCCTGGGGTGGGGGGACACAGGGCAGGTACCCCCCAGAGGGGTCCCCCAAGACAACACAACATCAACGAGAAAAGTTGCAAATCAGGCAGAAATGGGGACATCATTCCAAGGTCCTTATATACAGACACTGCATGACCAGCAGGGCAGGGGGCGCAGGTGGGACAGGCATGGGCGTGTGGTGGGCAGCTCAGCCCAGGAGGATGGGAAGACAAGGCCTCCACCCACTCCCACCCCATCCCCACCCCACCTTTGGTAACAACAGCCCTTCCGGGAGCCCCCCGGCGATCAGGAGGTGCCTCTGGGGGTTCCCCAGGTCTGCCCTGCTTCAGTGCTGGAATGGGGGCACCCTCTCTCCGCCTGGTCGGCCATGCGGGGAACAATGAGTTAAGAGTGTGCTGCCCGCCCTTGATCCCACCGTCTACCCAAAGGAGGGGGTGCTCCCTGAAGTCGAGGGATGGGAGCCTGGTCGCTGTAGAAGAGCTCTCTTGGGCATCAGCTGGGGAAGCCCCAGGAAGGGGAAGAAGGGGCTCCCGGGGGGGGGGCGAGGGGGCGGAAGTGAGGGAAGAGGACCTGGACCCTGCATAGGGGAAGGGCCAGCGTGGTCATGAGGCCAGTACTGCCCCGTTCCCCCCACTTGGGGCCCTGGCCAGGAAGTCCACACTGGAGGGGTCAGGAGGGGGGCCCTGGAATGGGCCCGTCGGGGAGCTGGCCGACGGCCAGACCAGGGGGTGGCCGCGGGCCAGGAGGGGGCTCACAGGTAGATCTCGCGCTTGGCCGTCTGGGCAGGTGCCGGTGCGGCTGCCGGTTGGAAGTCCGAGGTCTGGGTCAGGGGGATCTCCTCCAAGGTGGCCGCGTCCTTGCAGGAGTCATGGCTACTGTGGGAGAAGGCACTGTAGGAGGGCAGGAGGCGCACGGGGGCCGTTTTGGTGTTCCGGTCTTCCGGGGGGCTGGGGCTGCCGGCGCCCGCGGGCTCCTGCCCTCCTCGGTCCTGGTAAGGCACGAAGGTGGAGAGTTTGAGGGCGCTGCTCTTGGTCCGGCGGCTGGGAGACGACTGGCCGGGCATCCAGCACGTGTCGGAGTGGCCAAACTCGCTGCACTCCCGGGTGCACGTGCCCGTCATGGCGACGTCAGGCAAAGGGCGCAGGTCTGCAGGAGAGAGCCGGGACGGTCCTCAGGGAGGGCGGCCTTGCGAAGCTCTGCTCCGGGCCTCCCGCTGGCACCTCAGAACTGGCACCCCTCCTCCCCCACTGCCCACTGAGCTCAGAGGCACATCTCCTCAAACAGACATAAGCCCCACCATCCACCACATGCTCACTCTCTCACACACACTAAATCCACCCTTAAATAGACACATTCCTTCCATCCTCACCCACCCTCCAGCTCTGCTCACGCACACCCACCAAATCTGCCCTCAGACTGGTGCGTGAACATGCAACTCATCTATGAACTCCGTCGTCCACAAATCTACCCTCCAACCGGGGTGAAGAAACACCATCCTCATTTAAAGTCTCTCTCTCTCTCTCTCTCTCTCTCTCTCTCTCTCTCTCTCTCTCTCTCACACACACACACACACACACACACACACACACACACCTGTCCTCAGGTAAGTGTGGGCACACAAGTCTATACTGGGCTTCTCTATCCTCAGACAAAGGGGGACACATACCTTCCTTCTGAACCCGCTCAAGCCTCCCCAGGCTCCCAGCTACCCTGGAACCCCACTCCACCCCAGAGCAGCAAGGCCCTGCCGTAAAGCCGTGGAGGAGACGAGCTTCTGTGTGGGGAGCTCACAGAGAAGCGCACACTCACACACCCACAAGCACACTCGTCCAGCTCCTCCCCACCTCACTCCAGCCCCCTACACCAACCACCACCCCTGGCCTTGCCCCGGCTCCCTGCCCAGAACACCCACGGGAACAGGAGTTGGCTGCCTGACATCAGCAGTAGCCGGTGTGGTTGCTGGGCAGCAGGATCTCCATGGGGACGGCTAAAGCCATGAGCACTTCCTGTTATAGTTGCCCCTGTCCTGCCCTCACTCAGAGACAGTACCAGACGGTGACCCCACCTCAGGGGAGCAGCAAGGGCTGGGGTGGCGGCTCCCCTGACACCACCCACCTTGGTCTGGCCTCCAGCCAATGCAAGGTGAGGAGGGGACAGCTCTGTTGTTAACCCTCAAAGTGCCAAGGCTCTTCAGCTCAAGGCGGAGTTGGAGGGCCCATGGTAGCACGGCGCAGAGCAGGGGCCCTGGGTGGGTGGGGCTGGGTGCTGGACCGAGTCCCCCAGACCCCAGAGTAGCTCCCACATACCTGGCACTCTGCCTCAGGGCCTGCTCCGACCAGCCGGCTCTGCGCGGGCACAAAAAGGACGAGATGGGCATGAGACAGAGCATGGAGGGGCAGGGTGGGGGCAAGGGCACTCTGAGACCTGGGGCTTGGGAGGTTAGAGAAGGGCCCCGTGCCTAAGGGGTGGAAGTGGACCTTTGCATCTTTTTTTTTGGGGGGGGGGGCAGTGCTGGGAGAGTTTGCACTGAGGGAGGGGGCAAGACCCAAGGACATTTCCAAGGTGGCAAGTCTCTCCATCCCAAGGGGAGGCTTATCAGCATGCCCCTCCAAAGGCTGCTATGGACACCTTCACACACACACACACACACACACACACACACACACACACCACACCATACGCCGCACCACATTCTCTCAGCTCACCCATCTCATAGTCCCACAACGACCTCGACCTCAGCTCCAGCCAGGACATCCCTTTTGGCAGCACCCTCCAAACCCCTCCCAGATTAGCCTGCCCTTCCACCCCCTTTCCTCACCCAAACACGGCTTCTTCCCACAAGGGGATGATAATAATGATAACAATACCCTTCTCTGGTATCCTTAAAGCCTCCGGGGTACCCTCTTCACCTCAAGATTCCCTCAAGGAGAGGTAGGTTCCATTACCACTACCCTTTGACCACCATTCTCAGGGACCCTGTCCCCAGGGAGGCAGGAGAATGGGGCGATGAATGCAAGGTCTTTGGAGCCAGAGAAGCCTGAGTTGGAACCCCCCACCCCCAGCTCTGTTGCTTCCCATGTGTAGTTGTGGGTAAGTGACTCACCCCCTCTGAGCCTCCGTTTCCTCCCCTGTAAAATGGGCACATTAAAGTTTTCAGGTCAGAGTAGCTACGAAGATTAAATAAGCATAGACCTGAGAGCAATGTGCACAGTGATCACTGCTGAACATCCAGTGCGCTCGATAAATGGAGGCTGTTTGTAAGGTCTCGTTGCCATTTCTGGCTTCTGCTCCTCATTCCTGGGGTGCCCCAGCCATGCGGACGCCCCTCACCGTTCTCAGGGTGCTCCATCTCTCCTATGCTGCCATCAGGGGTGGTGCGCTCGTAGTGATCCTCCGGCAGAGCCAGGGGACCGAGGCGGGGCCCTGAGGAGGACTTGCTGGACGGCGTCTCAGACTCCTCCAGACCGCTATCATAGTAACTGTGCTGGGACGGGTCCTGCAGCTCCTGGGCCTGGCTGGTGGCGGAGAAGGTGACGCGGCGGTGAGGTAACTGCAGGGAGAGAACTTGTCACTGTGGGCCGCAAGGCTGCCCCGGGGGGCCCACCACCACACCAGGCCCCGGCCTGAGCCAGGCTCACCCCCATATCTCCCAGCCCCCCTCAGCAGCAACCAAGAAGAGGCCGAGCCCCCCAGCACAGCACACACCCTTCTAGAGGACTTCCCTTTCATTCTAAGACAGCTCCCAACACAGCCAAGACCACACACGGCAAGTTCCCGACACAGCGTAGGCCCCGGTGTTAATACAGCCCCCAGGCCACCACGGTAAGCCTCATCCAGTACAACCACCTGTTACAGCGTAGCCTCCAGGTACTGGCGCAGCCTCCCTCTAATTCCAACTTCAGAATAGCACAAAACCAGCCAAATCCCATAGTTCAAGCAGAGCCTTCACACACTAGCAAGTCTCCAACGTCTAGAAAAGCTCCCTAAAAGCAGTGTAGACTCCTAATTCCAAAAGAGCTCACCAAAACCACAACAGTTTCCTAATTTCCAAACAGCACCCCCCAAACTCCAGCTCCTCACCTGTCTCCTGGCTCTGCAACTTCCCAATGCCTCCATCCAAATGAGTTGCCAACCTCTCTCTGATCCTGTTCCTCGGCCTGGTTTGTCATGCAGCAGGCAGTCTCAGGACTCCCCGCTGAGTCTGCTCCCACTCAGCCCCCCTGTCCCCACTTCATTCCCCTCCAGAGAGGCCTGGGAGTGGAGAAAGGTGGGAGGGAAGAAGGGAGCCAGATAGCAAGCCAGACACCTTGGGGGGTGGGAACAGGAACAATGGGAACTCCCTCATGCTTCAAGGTCAGGAAACATATTTGCTGTAGAGGGCAGGGAGAAAGACCTGGCATCCATCAGGAGGTTAGGAAGGCTGACCTCAAATGGACTCCTTCTAGGAAACAGGAAGGAGTGTCTGGGAAGGGCTGTGGACTTGGTGGAGCCAGGACTTAAAAGCCTGGACTTGGGGGCTGGGGTGGGGGAAGTGGAACAGTGACAGGCTGCTCCCAGACGACTCCTATCTGCCTGCCTCAGGTTAACGATCACCCCAGGAACCTGGCAACCTCAGCTTGGCACATGGCACAACCAGCCAGTCACCCAAACACCCACCTAGGACTGCCACTGGCGTTCCCGCCAGCCATAAATTAAGAGTTGTGGAGGGCCCAGAGCTCCGGCCCCTGGAGGGCAGGAGTGGGAGCCGCCCAGGCCCAGGGCCCTGCTGATGAGTCTCCAGGCTCCTTCCAATCCTCTAAGACTTTCTCAGAGCTTTGTCTTTCCTCTAAAACCCTCAATAGGTTTTCAAGACCCATCCTCCCGATACCCTACATAATCTCCATCCCATTCAAGGCAGCTGGGATGGGGGAGTCTGCTAGGACAGGGAGCTTTGGAGCTGATGGGAAGGCAGTTGGAAGGTAGCCCAGAACTGCCTTCCCATTTTGGCTCCCACCCCATCTTCAGGAAGAGGCAACCCTTCTTGGGATCGATCCATGCTGTGTTCTAAAACATTGAAGGATCTCAGTGATGACAGACAAGGTCCCCAAAATTGACCTGGACATTTGGGGCTGAGAGGTTGCAAAGGAGCATCGTCCACCTGGTAGAGTGAACAGCTCCAGGAGGGGCTTAGGGAGCACAGGGCAGTCAGCTTGATGGGTGCTTCCCTCTCCCCTCTCTGCAGAACTCACACCTGGGAATCTAAGGCTTCCATCCTGCCTACCAGGCACATCACTTGGTATCTTTTCCCTATGACTCTTCTGTAAAATAGAGGGTTGGGTCATAATCAACACCAAATGTTTCCTTTAATTCTCTACTATTCAATCTTAAAAAAAAGCCTAGATCCAAAAGCTCTCTCAAACTCTAGCCCTGAAGTTCTAAAGACTTGCTGGATATATCGAATTGGCTGGCCCTTTAGATATGTCTGATACCAAATTCTCTTTCTTCAATCAGCTACTGTATAGGCAATGATCTGATCACTATCCAGTCGCCCAGACTCAGAAGGATGCTGTCTATCTACCTGAGAATCCTGGTATCTCTCCCCTCATTCCCCATTCCCACCCCATATTAAATTATCCCTTGAGTCCTATGGGTCTTTTCTCCTTAAGGTCAGCCAGATCCATCCATTCATCATCCCCATTGCAAGCATCTTAGCTCAGACCATAGTTCCAATCCTGTACCTTCCCCTCTATTCCCTTTAAGTCTACCATACACTCCAGTGAGCTTGTAAAACTCAGTTCATCTAATGAGCTCTCGGAGGCTCGCTCCCATTTCCTCTTAAGGAACTTTCGGCAAGGAATATATCTCCTCTACAACTTAGTTTTTCTAGTCTCATCTCTCAGTTCTCTCCTATACCTTCCACTCCAGCCAGAATACTCCTTCTCCCTTCTCCCTATCCCCAACTTGGTCATACTCACTCCTAACTCAGGAGTTGGCTCACAGGGCAAACCCTTCTGCCCAACTCCTACTTATCATTGAGTTTCATATTCCCTTTTCATGAATCCACTCCATGTCCTAAGCAGGTCTCCCTATACTGTGCTCCTCAAGGAAAGGGATAGGGCACTATGGTCAAATAAAACTGGAAAACCCAGAATTACATGGTTTAACAGGTTTCCCCTTTCTTTCAGACTTCACAGAGCCTTTAATAGGATAATGTGATGGTGCAGCTCTTACTACCAAAACTAACTTGATCATAGAAGTTAACCCTCTTTTTTTTTTTTTTTTTTTTTTTTTTTTTTAATCACATAATGGTTCGCAGCAGACTCTGGAAATCAGATCTCATGATGCTTTGTGCTTGAATTCTGACTTCATCGCTAACTAGTTTTCACTTCTGTAAAGAGAGCATTATAATGACTTATGTCACAAAGAGTTATGAGTATTGAATGAGTTAATTCACATCAAGTGCTTAGCATGGTATGTTGCACCTAGTAAAAAATAAAAAAAAATAAAAAAAGCAGCAGGTAGTAGCAGTAGTAGTCCTGGGACAAGTTGGGGAAAGTTTTTTTATGGCTCCTCTCACTCGACACTTAAGATTCTCATTTACCTCATCTTCTCATTATTATGTCTTGCATAAAAGTGACCACTTAGCCTCGGGGTCTAGTACCATGCTGAGCACACAGCCTTTGTGTTTGGGTGATGACAATGGTGTTGCAGTCTGGTTGAGTCTGGATGCTGGAAGAAGGTATGCACTGTGGCTCCACCCACGACTTGAACTGGAGCCAAGGAAGGGATAACCTTTCTGACTCTGGGGAAAAAAAGGGGTGAAGGAGCTAAAGGAATAGAAGAAAGAACTGGTGGCAGCAAGGTAGGAACTAAAGAGAAAGGATGATTGGTCAGGAGTTGCCTGAGGTCACCTTGGAGACTAATTTGTCCAGGAGAAATGAGATGAGACTAGATTTCACTTCCCCACACCCCAGTCCTCCAAAGCCCTAAGCAGTTTTTATTTTGGGGCTACCCCCCCAGGCATGGGCGAGTTTGTGGACAGAATCAAAGCAGAGAACTGGCGCCTGGGACCTCTTGGGAGTGACTCAAGCCTCTTCAGTCGCCATGGAGACAGGTTGCCTCTGGCCTCAGAGACTCACTCAGGACCTGAGGTCCCTCACCCAGACTTTAGCCCCCTCCCTCTAAGGCACAGCTAGGAAATACCCAAGAGAGCAAGAAGTGAGAGATGGAGAGAGAGAGAGTGAGAGCCAGCAACGCAGGTGGCTAGAGCAAGGAGCTGAAGGAAGGGAGGGGTCAGGACTAGGATGCCTCTGCCCCAGTCAGTGGGGAGTGCCCTAAAAGTGGGGATACAGAGCAGGTCAATTCAAGGACTTGAGGATTTCTTCCCCCTTCTCTGGGCCCTCCCTCGGGGCAGCCCAGGATGGTGATCATGGTGGGGACACACAGGGCAGGGCCAGCTAATTGCTGGGTGTTGAGTGGTATTGGGATGAAGAGTCTGGGAAAGGGACTCGGGAAGATCTTGAAGGGAAGGTGGCTGATATAATCAAGAAGTTATCTGCCTTCACGTGAGACGGGCAGGCTGCACTCCACCCCACGGGGTGCTCTGGTCTGAGCCTGTCAGGTTCAGTATGGGCAGATTGGCAAGGTCCAGTCTCAACCAGTGGAGAAAGGGCAGGAGTTGGGTGCAGCCCCACCTGCCCTTTCTTGGTGAAGACTGTCATTCCTAGGGAGAAGGCCTCACAAACGTGGGGTAAGGGGACATGCTGAAAGATACTTGGAATGGGCCCTTTCCCTGGGACAAGGACATGGACATGGGGATGGATAGGAAGACGGAGGGGTGGAGGGGCAAGTCCAGGATATGGGGAGGGGCAGAAAGAAGGGATGGGAAATTAGGTCAGGACCTAAGGACAAAGAGGTATTTCCAGTCTCTCTCACTCCTTCTCTCAGTTCCAGGAAAATAAGAAACGAAAACTCCAAAAATAGAGAACTTTATTGTCAAAGATAAGCATTTGGGACTGGGGCTGGGAAACTGGGGCCCAGGCCAAGGAGTCTGGGATGGGGAAGAGGGTGACACACAGTACATACAAAAGGCACAATTGGGGAGGCCCCTCCCTGACAGAGTCCCCGCCCAGTTACCCAGCAGCACCCAGGTCTCCCAGTTCCCTCAGGAGAAGCACCATGGCTGGTCTCGGATAGAGACCCAGGTTTGGAATAGACTTTTCCACTTCCCTCCCGCTTCAGCCTCCAAATCCTTCTGCTACCTGCCTATCAACCCCCACCTGCCAGGACCAGCAGCTGGTCCAGTGCCCGGAAGATTTGACAAGTTATAGGCCTCTCCCAGTGGGCAGGGAACACACCGTCCTTCAATTTTCACTGTCTAACCTCCCATGTCTGGGTGAGGCAACTAGGACCCCAGCAACCCCAGATCTTTGGTCCTACCTCCCACCGTTCGCTTGGGCCGGCCCCCACATGGGCTGCTGAGCACCTGGGCCCAATGCACCTGCACCGTCACTCCCACACTTCAGTCCAGATGGCCCCCTGGTAGGGGTGGGGTGGGGGCTTGGGCATGCTGAGCTTCAAGGTTTGGCCTACCTGCTTGCTGGGGTATTTGGGGGGATTGGTGCGGTAGCTGTAGTCGGAGTACTGCTCAGAGCCCGTGGACGTGGTGTCCCCAGTGCCCACAAATGTGTTCGCAGGCGGCAGGTCCTGCACCACCTGGTGCTTCTTGGAGGCCGAGGGTGACTGTGGCTGCAGCTGGATGGAAGGCAGAGGGGAGTTAGAGCGGTAGTGGCGGCCCAGGTCGGGGCTGCCCGGTGGGTAGTTGAGGGGCAAGTGGATGCGGGGGCTGTCCCCAGGGGCATCGCTCATCAGGTTGAACTTGAGGGACTTCTGCAGCCCGGACTCCTCCTCGTCCTCCACTGGCTTCACGGGCTTCGGGGACTTGCTCTTCTTGCCCTTGCTTTTGTTTCCTTTGGAGGCTTTGCCGCTGGGCTTGGGGGCGTACAGGTCCTTGGTCTCCTTCTTACCGGCCTGGTAGCCGCTCTTGGCCTCCCGCTGCCGGCAGTAGCGCACGAGCACCGCCAGGGCGATGAGCAAGGCCACGGCCACCACACCAGCCACCACACCGAAGAGGATGTTGCCACGCTGCTTGGAGCGCTCGTATTCTGGGTCCCCGGCAATGTCGATGTCCAGGGGCGTGTCCAGGCTGTGGCCCAGCAGGTTCTCCAGCAGCGTGCGGTTGGTCAGGGTCTCGTTGACATACAGGTGGACCAAGGCCGTGCCATAGCGCGGGGGCTTGCCACGGTCACTGACCTTCACCACGAGACGGTGCAGCCCATAGTGGCGCCGCTCAATCTCCTTCTCCAGGGTGATGGCGCCTGAATGCGACCCGATCTGGAAGAGTCCGTAAGGGTTGCCACCAGCGATGCTATAGGTCAGCTCGGCATTGACACCAGAGTCAATGTCCTCAGCTGTCACCTGGCTGACCGTCTCACCGAGACGCGTCTGGGGGGTCAGCAGCCGGTGGGAGGTGTTGGACGGGGCGGTGATGAAGGGTGCGTTGTCATTCTCATCCAGCACGTTGATAGTGACGCCAACGTAAGCTGAGCGAGGGGGGATGCCACCGTCCACCGCCTTCAGCTGAAAGGTATAGGTGCTCTGCTGCTCCCGATCAAAGCTCAGGCTGGAGAGGATGGTGCCCGTGCCATTCTGGATCACAAAGTCACCGTTGTCCTGCTCCACGGTGAGCTGGATTCGGGCATTCTCCCCCTTGTCCCCGTCAATGACAGTCACCATGCCCACTGGACTCAGCGCCGGCATGTTCTCCATCACGGAGAAGTTGTAGCCACTTAGCATAAACTTGGGGTCATTGTCATTGTAGTCCAGCACATTGATGAGGACAGTGGCTGTGCCCTGCAGGCTGGGGCTGCCCCGGTCAGCTGCCACCACCTTCAACTCGTAGTTCTCCCGCTGTTCCCGATCAAGGGATGTCTTTACCCGGATCTCTCCGGTCTCAGGAGAAATGGAGAAGAGGCCCTTGGCGGCCGGCTCGGGCTCCAGAGAGTAAACCAGCTCAGCATTGGAGCCCGAGTCGGCATCAGTGGCCGTGACCTCCGCCACCACTTCCCCCGGCTTGTTGTTCTCCAGGAAGCTGACCTCAGTGACGCTCTGCGTGAAGACGGGTGCATTGTCATTGATGTCCACCACCTGCACCTTGAGGGAGTTGGTGCTGGAGAGGGGCGGGTTGCCGGAGTCCACGGCGACAATCTCGATGGTGTAGTCTTTGACCTTCTCGTAGTCCAATGGGCTGGTGGTCTGCAGGAAGTACTTCTTCTTGCTGTCGCTTCCCGTCTCACTGGCCTGGCGTAGCTGGAAGGGCACATCCCCTGCTACCACACAGGTGACGGCTGCATTCTCTCCCTCATCTCGGTCCGACACCTGCACCAGGGCCACGGCTGTCTCCTCTGACACGTCCTCGGAGATGTTAGCCATCCCGTCTTGATGGGTCACCAGGCCTATGCCCCGGATCTCAATGGTGGGGGCGTTGTCGTTCATGTCCTTCACGGTCACCACCACCTGGGCACGGGCACTCTTGGGGTTGGTGCCTCGGTCCTTGGCAAGCACTGAGAAACGCAGGGTGCTGAGGTCCTCACGGTCCACGGGGCCCTGCACGGTGATGAGCCCGGTGTTCTTGTCCAGGCGCAGAAGACGCCTCACGACCTCAGGGGCCTGGTGGAACATGTAGTCTATCTCGGCGTTGGCACCTTGGTCTGAGTCGTTGGCCTTCACCTACCGAGCAGGGAAGGAAAATAAGGAACACGGTTACAGGTTAGTCCAGAACAGCAAATTAAGAGATGCATGCACTGCCTTTCAAACAAGCACAGGAGACCTGAGTGATCTAACGTGGCACCTTTCCCAAAAGCGGCACGTGTCCTGCCTGCCCTTTTCCCAGTCCTGACCCTCTCGCACATCTTCCTGGTCTGCTTCCCTGAGGAGCACAGATGTTGCCTGCAACTTCTCAACAGTGCTGCAAGCAACTACTCGAGATGGGAGCAGGCAGAGTTAAATCTACTTATCATTCCCGCACTAATCTGCCCGAACATGGGGATGAGGACCCAGTTGTCCAACTAGTACAACCCCCCCTCTCAGCTAAACTGGCCTTCAAGCCTTCTGAAGAGCTGGATAGGTGCGAGCAGTAGAGACGGTGTGTGTGCATGACATATGTATAATACGCATGCATGCATATACCCATGTGTGATTATGGGTGACTGTGGGGAAAGGTATATGTGTCTGTGCCCATGTGTGTTTGCACATGAGTAGAGACCCACATGTCCTGGAGGACACAGGTGAGGGGATTTCTTTTGAAGGCAGCCAGGTAGGTATATGGGTCACAGGGAGCTGGCCAGGCCACTGTTCTGTCAAACCAGGGAAACCTGTTTCAGAAGCTTCTTCCCCTCCCACTGGGCTGGTGCTGGCTAGGCACCAACTTGAGGAATCCAGCAGAGCCTGCAGTGAGAAGGGAGGGGTTGGTGCAGGCCACAAAGCCTGCTGGCAGCAGGCTGGGCTCCCAGCATCAAACAATGAACCGTCTGTCCCTTTGCGTCGGGCACGCCCTCCCATGCCAGCACTGACACATACTCTATGCAAACACGGGGGCAACAGGGACCTGGTTGAGATGGCCATGAGGTAGTTACTACAGAATGTGATGACAGGTTGGGTAAGGGATGAGTGGGGAGAAAGGGACAGGCATTACTTGGCAGAGCTCTGGGGAGCAAAGCAGAAGGGTCCTAAGTTCAAATCCTAGCCCCACCACTTCCCAACTATGTGACGTCAGGCCAATTATTTAATCTCCCCAAGCCTTAGTCTACAAATACATAAAATGGGGATAACAATAGGTCCTAGTTCATGGGATTGTGGTAAGGATTAAATAGAATAATATGTGTAAGTGCCTAACATTGCCTGGCACATTGACTCCTCTTTTAGTCCGTCCGTCCATCCACCCGTCCATCCATCCATCCTCCTATCTGTCCATCTCAGAAGATTAGTGCTAACACAGGGCTGGGCACCGCAGCTAATGGGCCCTCAAGACACTGCTAGTCTCTTCTTCTTCCTGCCACAGCTTTTTCAATAGTGGAGACCCCTGGACATGGATTCCCAGCTACCCTGGTCTCTGCTCACTCCTCTGAAAGACAAACAGTTCCTCCTCACACCTTCAACCCACCCCCACACTCCCCATCTATCTTTTGTTCCTGCATTTTCATTATGATTACCAGTATCTCCCTCTTTCTAGATAGGTCACCCAGCTTATCTGCCTCTCCTAACATTTTATCTCCCTTTGTCTGTCTAGGACTTAACCTCTGTCTGTTTCCCTTCCATCCTTGCTCAGTTCTCTGCCTCTTTCCAACTGCTACTTCTCTCCCATCCTCTTTCTGCTGCCCTATCTACCTCTAGTCTTATGTCTGCCCCACGCTCCTGCTTCACCCACTGGGAGGGGTGCTAGCTACTACACACATAAGCTCTGCAGCCAGACTGCTGGGCAATGGCCAAGGTGGGACCTGAAAATATAGGCTGGGTGATATCAGGCAATTTTCCTAATCTCTACGGACTCAGTTTCCCATCTGTGAAATGGGGATAATGCTTACCTTGTACTGTGGGGATTACATGATAGAATACATATAATGTGCTTAGAGCAGTCCTGGCAGCTAGGCTATTATTATTCACCATCCCCGACTGTCTGTCTCCCTTTTCTTTCTCAGTCTCTCTTCTATAGAAGCCAGTCCACCAGCCTCTAAGAAAAATGTTGAAACTCCTCCCCACGCCCACTCCAGCTTGAGGTCATAGGATGAAGGCTTTCTTAGGATGGGTAACGGTGTCCAGGGTAGGCCAAGCCCTCCTCAGCTCCCTCACATCAAAGACAGACAGCTGCAGCCCAGGGGGAAGGAGAAAGGAGCTGGGGCTGGCAGGAGGCCAGGCTGAGATGACAGTGGGAGATACGCCCACCTGTCTACGGGGACGCTTTCTCGGCTCCCTCCCAGGCCCTGGCCCTACCAAGCTGCCCAGCCCCTGGGGCAGTTCCCATGGAGTGGGGTGCTGAGAATTTCGGCAGAGGCAACCAAACCCCCCACTGTGCCAAGCACCCCGCACCCATGGCACCACATGCCTAGTGGAGGAAGCCAGCAAACAGACTTCTGAGTAGTTTTCCGAAGACCTGCCTGGCTACAATGATCTCATCTGACTTTGCCAAGGAGTGGGGCAAAGTAAGATGCTGTCCTATTGCGTCAGGAAAACCTCACATTTAAAGGGCCCCTGGGTGGGAAGATGGTCTCTTCTCTAGAGAGATACTCTTGGGACAAAAGGTGACTCCCTTGTTCCAGCGTGGCTCCTGTGTCTGGGGAAGGATTGACTGACTTGGGAGGGGGTTTTACTTGCTGGAGATTTCTCCAAATGGAGTCTGCCTTGGGGGTGGGGGGAAATATAGGCTGGATGATATCAGGCAATTTTCCTAAACCCGTCACATGCTATGCCACTGTCACTGAAGTAGCTTGAAAGAGGACAGTACTATCACCTGCTAGGGTGGGGTGGGGCTTGTGGGAAGGTCTTGCACAGTAGCCTGTGGTTTTTCCCCCTCCGTGAAAGGAATTCTCACCAGTTTAGGGCGGGCTCCCATTTCTAAAGGAGGGTCACCCTGACAGTGAGTGAGCTAGAGGGGACTCTTACCTGGATGACTGAGTGGCCTATTGGGCTGTTCTCAGACAGCTCAGCCTCATAGGAGGGCCGCTCGAATTTGGGGGCATTGTCGTTGGTGTCCGTCACAGTGACGCGCAGCAGGGCGCTGCTGGCACGCGGGGGGTTGCCACCGTCCTGCACCTTGATGGTGAGGTCATAGGAGTCCTGGCGCTCCCGGTCCAGGTTGCCCATCACGATGAGCTGTGGCTGCTTCCCATCCTGGTCCTCGGCTACCTGCAGCCCAAACAGATCGTGGGCCTCGGGCCCGGCCTGCAGCTCGTAGGATGCCACGCCGTTGGGGCCGGCATCACGGTCAGAAGCCACAGGGATGGGGAAGAGCGAGCCGATGTTGGTGTTCTCGGGGATGGTCAGTGTGATGACCGGCGAGGCGAAGTTGGGCGTGTTGTCGTTGATGTCCTGGACCTCTATCTGGCCCTCCAGCAGCCGGGGACTGCCGTTCTGCACGAGGTCCGTGATGGACACCTCGAACTCCAGGATGCAGGGATCACCGGGCAACTGGTTTTGGCATTCGCGGAGCCCCTCGCGGTCGATAGAGGTCTCGGTGGTGAAGATGTCGCCTGTCTTGCCGTCCACCCGCAGGTACGGGGCGCCTACCTCCAGTTTGTACAGGTGGCCCACGTCCGGTAAGCCATAGTCGGCTGCGAGGCTCCCGATGAGGGTGTTGGGTGGCTGTTCTTCCAGCACCTTGTACACCACCTGAGTGGTGTGACCTGGGGATGGAGCCAGCAGGAGCAGCAGCAGGGCCAGCAGCAAGGGGGGCATCGACAATCCTCGCCCCCCAGGGCCTGGGCTGGGCCTCAGGGGCCCCATCCGGGCAAGCTCTGGAATCAGGAAGGCTAAAAGGGGAAGAGGCAAAACAGGCAGTCAGCTAACAGGAAGAATCCGGCCCTGAGGGCTGCCCAGCCCCAGCCCCCCACTCCCCTTCTCCCACCTACACACTGCACTCCTAGGAGGAGAGCTCAGCCCAGCACAGAACCCCGATTCCGGGCCCCAGAACCCCGAGTCTAGCCCACAGCTGGGTGTCGCAGTGGTGTCTGCCCAGCTGGAGGAGCCGGTAAGGGACTGGAACAGCTCCTGCCCATGGAACGCCCTGACCCACCTGACTCTCCCTCCTTCCCGCCCTGCTCTGTGCTTTGCCCAACACCTCCCTCTCACCAGCACCCTGCCTTAGTCACCCATGGTAATTACCCTGATACCAAGATAGAGAGAGAGAGAGACAGCTAGTGGAAGGGTGAGGATTCAGGCACCACACACACACACACACACACACACACACACACACTCACACTACAAAAGAGACACCCCAGCCCCTGGATCATTATTGCCCACACTGAGGGCCACTCGTTGGAGGGGATAATGTCTCATTTCTCCTCTGAGATGCCAAATCAAAGTATGTGTATGAGATATAACATCTCAAATCCTTGTCTGACAAAAAATAACCCACAGTGCCTAAAGTCCCCCCAACCCCATGAAGGGCCACCTAGAACTGGGCACCAATCAAGGCCTGAAAACAGGGTAGAGGACTGAGTGTTCACCCTCCCCAAACATACATGCCCCGGAGCATGCACACATGTATACACATAGGATTCCCAAGGATCCTCCTGCTCCCTCTCTGCCTTCCACTGGGGGTGAGGGGGTAGACACCACAGGTGTGTGGAAGATAGTTAAAGGTCAAGACTGGGGTCAGGACAGTGATCAAGACTAGCCCAGGAACTGGAATTGGAAGCTGCCCTGCCCTGCCCTTAGCAACGGGGAGCCCAGCAGGTCTCACTGGGACAGAGGTGCCAGCACCACCACCAGCCTTTCCCTGCCCAGGCCTCCTCCCCTGCTTAGGCTCTTGATATGAACATGTGGCTCTATTTGATCCTTATCTCAGCACACATTTGGCTTCTATTTCACACCTGGCCCCTCCCTACCTTAACGGGCCCAGTCCCATCTCTCCCTGCCCACCCCCAAATCCTCCCAATTAGTCCTGCATTTCCTAGCCAAGCGCAAGTGGCACGCCCACCACCACCTCGACCCGCCCACCACCACCTCGACCCGTTTCAACCCATTTCTTCAGCCTGTATCCTCGAAGCTTTGAGGCTGTGATTTGTAGACCCCAGCCAGACCTGCCAGCCACTGTTCCAGTCCTGACTTCCTCCTCTCCAACAAAACCAAGGCCAGCCCCTCAACTCAAATCCAAAGTCTTTGGCATTTCCAGCAGAGGGCTCAGGTTCAATCTCTTTCCCCACTGGTACCCAGAATACCTGCGCCACACCTGGAAATTCTACTCCAGGCTCTATGCCACATCACACTTACCCCACCGAAAGCCCGCTTCCATGCACTAGGAATCCTTCCCAGGTCTCCCCACCCCACCGTGACCTCTCCTGCCTCCAACTCACAGCCACTGATTGCCCCAATCCCTCAGCAATGAATCACGATTACCTGGTGCAGCAGTGATTCATTGCTAAGGGATTGGGGCATATTGCGCACCTATTCCTGTGTCCTCTGCTTCTCCAGGCAAACACCAAACATCCTGAAGGAAGGGACAGAGCTCCCCACATTCATCCCCCCGCCCCACCCATGCTCCTTAGCAAATCTGGGCACAGGATAGGTGCTCATTCATGCACTTACAATGTGCCAAGCTTTGTTCTGGGCACTGGGGCACAGCAACGAACAGGACAGATACAATCTGCTCCTGTGGAGCTGACAATGGTTCTAACCTCATGACAGTTTTGTGTGGCTGTACCCATTTGGCACACGTAAGGCAGCAACAAGGTGGAGAAGAGCAGGGACTGTGACATCGAACGGGGTGGGGCAAACACCAGCTGTCCCTTCCTGGCTACCTGAGCTGGAGCAAATAATATAGAGCCTCAGTTTCCTGACCTGTAAAATGGGGATTATACTACCTATTTCCTAGGGAGTTTGAAATGAGGTGGGCTAAATGCTGAGCACTCAACAAATGCCCCTAAAAGCACAATTGTGGTGATGTAGTTGTTTAGGGAAATCATCTGTGAATTGTTTGTCTTTCCTACAAGATGGAGCAGAGAGTAAGAGAGCCCCTCCTTTGTTTACCACCAAATCCTCAAGATCCCACATGACTCGGCATACAGTAGGCACTCAGCAAGGGCTCCAGAACCACTGATTATTTAGCTCCCAGGCTTAACCTGTCCTGGCACTTTGGGTGGTCCTGGCTTGTTTTCTTGCCCGGTTCCCCTGGGAACCTGCGAGGGTCAAACTTCATCCTTCCCTGTTTCAGTCCATAGTAGGTTCTCAGCAAACCCTCACCGAACACACAGATTCCTGACTCCAGTCAAACACTTCACTTCCTTCCCACGGCCCACCCAGGGCACAGCCTCTCCCCGTCACTTCTCAGAATGTCCTTAAAGTATTGTGAGACCATTATCAGATGAGTGTGTTTGCTCCCAACAGCAATCTTAATCTCTTTAAAAGAAGGAGGAATTTCCCTGCCCTCCCTGAACCTCTCTCTATTCTGGAAGAGACCCAGAAAAAAAAAAAAAATCAAATAGACTGTCACACAATGTAAAAAAACAACAACACAAAAAACAGGAGGAATTTGTCAGATGTTCCGTCTGAATTCACTTTCCAGGCCTTTACCTTCATAGACTAAATACAGGGCTTATCTGACCACCTGTCCCAACTCAACACACCTGTGTCCAAAGAAGCTCATTCCCTTCTGGGCACCTTATTCTGTCCCCTCCCTCGCCCCCATAGCAAGCACACAACTCCACAACTAGATGTCACAGGGCACCCAATTCCATGGGTAAGTCTCGGCAGAGTGGGGGTCACCAGGGAATTACCCTAAACCTGACAAAGAGGAAAAATAAGGCAGTGACTGCTTACCTCCACTCACTCTAAGCTTTTTGGGTCACATCCCCCTTTATGAATCTTATGAAACTATGGTTCAGATTTTTCCAAGAAAAATGAATGCCACAAGTTTTAGCTACAAATTCCGAGGTCCGTGGTCTGACTGGTTTGTAGCTGGGGATTCCTTCCCCATCTCCAGGTCACAGCCAAAGGCTCTACACCTTCAGGCCAGGCCTCCCAGCAGCATAAACACAACAGCTTCTCTCTCTCTCTCTCTCTCTCTCTCTCTCTCTCTCTCTCTCTCTCTCTCTCTCTCTCTCTCTCTTTCTCTCCCTCCCCCCCCCCCCCCACCTCCAGCAAGCAGAGAAGCCAGGAAAGGACTGTGTTATCTAACTTTTGAGTTGGAGAAAGAACCACAATGGACTATCAAGGCAAGGAAGGTGGGGGAGGGGTGTTCCCAAGAGGTAGGAAGAATGGGGGTGCGGGGAGGAGGGAATGGGGTTGGGGGAGGGTACCCAGAGTAGGGGCAAGAGTTGAAGAGAATTTAGGCCCTTGAAGCACCTGGAGAATTCCTTTAAAATGAGGATTTTTCTGGCCCCACCCTTAGGAATTCTGATCCGGAGAAAGGACCTGGAGAAATCTCCAGGTAGCAGGAAGCAATGGCCCTGAACTTTTAAGAGACAAATTTGAGATACACTAAACCCTAGGAGTTAGAAGTGTGAACTCTATCATCATCACTTTTACCATCATCTTATCACCAGCACCTAAGTTAACACTCCCTGATATTTTTCTACATTTATATACATTATTTCCTCTAATCCTCCCACCCCTCTGAAGTGAGTACTGTTTATTACTACAGGGCTCTCCACAAGATGATAAAATTGAGGCTCAAAAAAAATAATTACTTGTCTTAGGTCACAGAAGTAGGAAGTGGAAGTCAGGGTTTGAAAAAGAATGCCTCTTCACATCCTAAAGTCTGGGGGAAAGGCTGGATGGGGGAGGTAAGTCAACAGAAATCACCCCTGAGGCTAGAATATGATGTTTGCTATGTACCCCCTCCCCCATCCCACCCCAAAACACATACACACACATACACACACACACACACACACACACACACACACACACACACACACGCCCTCCCTGGGCTGCCAAACCTGCCAGGCAAGGAGGAAACAGAAAGAGGGGCCTAGGGTTCAGGGTCTGAAGGACCCCAGGCTCCCAGGCAGCTTCAGGGACCCTAGGACTGCAGGGCAGTTCAGAGCAGCCACGAACAGCAGTGAGGCAGCCCTTCCTCAGCCCTGCTCCCACCATCCCTGAACTTTGTCCCGGCGGTTAGTTATTGAAAGTCATTGGTCCCAGATGGCAGACTTTGAAGCCGTTGGTCCCTTATCTGCCCCTCCCCAAGCCCTGGTTGACTTCCTGGCAAGGCTTGTCCCCACCTCCGCCCAGTGACATGGGCACCCAGAACCCTGAGAAACCAGAGCCTCAGCGGGGACACTGACTCATCCTTCTCGGGCCTAAGGAGCACAGTGAGGTGGTGTGAGGGGGCAGAATCCAGGGAAGGTCAAGGGAAAACAACATCTGTGTCAACATCTGGGGAGGGAGGGAGGAGAGCAGTGGTGAGGGTTCACCTGCAACCTCCATTACCAGCCCACCTGGGGGACCGGAGTCCACTTCCTGCTGAACGCTTCGGCCGGAAAGGAAACACACAGAGACAGCTATCAACATCCCAGTGACCAGGTCAGCCCTAGTGCCCCGCAGCCCCGACCCCTGCTCTGTTTGTTACACAACAGGCACCAACACTCTGAACACAAAACACCAAGGGCTGAGAGGGGTGGAGCTGTTCAGAGGCCTCCCACAGTGAACAAGTGCCAAGCCTCAGCTCCACTCCCTTCTCTTCCACCGCCCTCCATTAACCTCTGCAGGGCTTCCAGCCACCTACATTCTTCAGAGTGTCGGGGCTCAAATCACTGCTCCACCACCTCCTAGCTGTGTGACCTTGGCCTGGGGACTTCACCTTTCTGAACCCATTTCCACACTGAAATGGAAATAAGAAATCCTGCCCCTTGAAGTTATTTGGGAGGACTAAGTAATAACTGATGCATCAAGCCCTATTACATTACAAATGATATGTAAACATATACATCACTCCTTATCACTGCCAGCATCAGGCGCACAGTAGGTATTCATTGTTTGAATCGATCCCCTGCCAGTTGGAAAGACCTATGAAGGGGAGGATGGTATGTATGCTACTACTGTATGGCATCCCCACCAGCCGCCATGGGCCTGGCAGAGAGATGCCCCATGCATTGTTGAAAGAATCCGTCTGCAGCACCAACTCTCCTTGCTCCTGGTAGGGGCAGCCCTCACCCTGTACCAGAAGGGCCCCCTCCATCTCCTCTCCCGGCAGCCTTGATTCCCACTCAGCCACACCCCCACCCTTGCAGGCCCCCTCCTGGCCTTCCATCCCACTCTTCCCAGCAGTTAGCCCAGCTTCCCTGAAGAACAGCCACCGCAGCGGCTCCTCTGCCACGAGGACACCAGACCTGCATGACATCCCCTTTCCAGATGATCCCTTTTGGAATTTGGGACTTGTGGGAGGGGGGATGAGAGTGGGGCAGGGAAACCGGGCCTGATCCCCAGCCTCACTGTCCCCCGCCATCTCTGGAGATCTTTCTCATTCCTCTCCCCTCAATCCCACCCCATGCCCTGGCCTAGTTGTCATTACAAATTTCAATCCGTGCCGACCCCGCCCCCCCCCCCCCCCACGTCAAGAAAGTAACACCCTGCCCCTCCCCAGTCACAGGCCCAGACCTCTGGGCTGTCACAAACACCTTCTGGGCGCCCTCTTTCCTGGCAGCACACGAGGGTTGGCCCAGGGTAAGTCATGGAAGGCTCCCTGCGTCTTCCGTCACGGCGTCCTGGACTCTGCGGGCCAGGGCAGCCCCCTGCCTACGCGGCCGCGGTCAGCGGGCGCTCCCCGCACACACCCCCGCGCGCCGGGCGTCTCCGCCCGGAGAAGGCAGGAGAGTTGGGGGTGGGGGAGAGGGGTGATGGCGACAGCTCCTCCGCCAGCCTCGGGCTCCGGCGGCTCCACCCCCACCCCGGCGGTGGCGCCGGGCCTCGGGAGCTCCAGGCAAGGTGGAGGCACCGCGCGGTGAGAACATGCATCGGCCACCGGGCCCCTTGCGCCCCCCGCCCCAGGGGCCGCGGCGGGGAACCTCTCCTCCACAGCTCCGGCCTCTGCCCGGGGTCCCCCGCTAGCCTGCCTCGGCCGGAGCCACGCAGCGGGCGCCCGGAGGGAACAGGGAGGGCTCCGGAGCCGGAATCACTGAGCAGCGAGCCAGGCCCGGAGGGGACGTCCCCGGCATAAAACCGACCCTCTCGCGGGGGGCGGGCGGCCAAGGGTCTTCACTCGGCGGCCTTCAGTCTTCAAAGACCTCCATGCCACCCCAAATATTTCCTGGTAGAAGGAATGAATAGTCGCCGACCACTCCTGGGGAAACGGAGGCCACAAGTCTGGGCTGCCGAGGTTTAGGGGGAAGGGGTGCGAACGTATCTCACCTACCCATTCTGCTCCCGCGCGCGCCGCGCTCTCCCTCCTGGCCCCGGGGCCCTGCCGGCGCCCCAGACTCAGGCCCGGAGCTGGGACCCGCGGAGGGGGCGTCCAGGTGGGAGAGGAAACAGGTGTGCTGAGGACCCAGATGGCTCTGAGGACGCAGCCCCAGGGCCTGGAGAGGGTGGCCATTACCGCCCCAGGCTTGCACCCTCTGCACAGGGACCCAGGGCCCTGGAGCCCCGGGGAGCGGGATGGCGCGACCGGCCAGGTCCAGCCGGTTCCGGGAACACCCGGGCGGCCAAGCCCGGAGTGGGAGTAGCGGAGGCGCCGGCGGGGAAGCCGGCCTGGCGGGGCGGCCTCCCCGGTTCCCGCGGTGCAGACATTTACAATAACAATGTGATTACCGCGAAGGGGCATTAGGGGCTCCCCGGGTGGCCCCGGCTTCCGCCGACGCAACCTGGCCTCTGAGGGAGAGAGGCAAGGGTGTTTGTGTGTGTGTGTGTGTGTGTCTAGCTGCAAGGTGCACGGTGACCCCGTTGGTATAAGATGGGTGAGAAGCCCACTGTTAGGACGGGTGAGGCAGGGGGTTCTGTGTTGGTAAGCATGAGGCGCTGCTGCAGGTGCTTCGCCGTGTTGGGGTGTGTGCGCTCTAGCTGTGTGTGCCCAGACACTGGCCGTGTGTTTCTGTGGGTGCAGTCGAGGGGTGCAAGCCGGCCTGTGATGTGTGCCCACGTTCTGGCCGAGGAGCAGGTAACATCATTTGTGTGAGGGTATGTGCCTAAAAGGAATGTATGTGCGTGAGGCTAGGTGTTAGGGGTCCATCTAGGGAACGGTGGCCGAGACACTCTTAACACGAGGGCCTGGGATTGTGCTTGTGTCCGAATGTCACACGGGCTGTTCTCCGTGGTTCCGTGCGGCCACGGGTGATGTGTCCCTGCCGCTGAGCGTGCAGGCGCCGGAGCGGCCGCGGAGCTGGCGCCGGTGCCCCGGTGGGCGCTGGTGTTCGGGAGGGATGTCTGTGCACATAGGAGCGGATGTGTGTGTGCGTGTGCCTATGGCCGTGGTCTGGTCCTCGGGGTGCCCTCGGGGAGCTGGGAGCGCCTGAGCGAGCAAAGCCCGTTTGCCCAACAAGTGTGTGTGTGTGTGTGTGTGTGTGTGTGTGTGTGTGTGTGTGTGTGTGTTGTGAATGAGGGGGTCCTTGCGGTTTCATCCTCGGGGAGCCCCCCAACGCACGAGCACACACACTGAGGGTTGCGCGCCTCTCCCAAACCATCTCCATCCTGCGAGCTCCTGGAGTCTCCTGATCCCCGCGGCTCCCAGAGAGCGTGGCTGCGGGACACCGAAGCTGGGGTCCGGTTCGGCACCCCCCTCTCCTCGCTCCGCTCCTCACCGCGGACCTTGGAGGCCAGGGTGCTCCGGCCGCCATCCCCATTCCGAGCGCCCAACCTCTCCCACCTCCGCCCCGGCGCGTGGAGCATCCACAGGGCCCCCGTGGCCTCGCTCGAATGCGCGCCCCTCCCGCAGCTCCCGTCGGCCATGGCCGCTCCCCGGCCGGGAGCCACCACCGCCGCTGCCACCACCACCGCCACCGCCACGGGATCCTTACCCGCCTCCGGGCAGCGCCTGCCGCGGGCCTGGCAGTCCATGAGCCGCCACCAGCCCCGGCCCGGGCTGCGGCTCGCACGGCTCGGGCTGGCGCTGCGGCTCGGGTTCCGGCTCCGGCTGGCTCCGGGCGCAGCAGCCCCGGCGGCTCCGCGTCCGCGCCGCGCTCCCGCTCCCGGAGTGTGTGAGCGGCGGAGGCGGCGGCGGCGGCGGCGGCGGCGGAGCCAGCGGCGAGCAGAGCGCACAGCCCGGCCCGCCCCCTCCCTCCTCCTCCTCCCTCCTGGCTCGCCCGCCCGCCTCCCGCCCGCTTCCCCGCCCCCCCAAACCACCCCTCCCCCGGCGAGGAGGTGGAGCTACCAACGCTCCAGTCGGTCCCACTGGGAGGGGACCCCGAGCACCGCTCCCCAAAAGCCAGGAACCCCCTTTGCTGTCTTCCGCTACCCGGGGCCTGGATACCCAGGGCGAACCCTGGCCCTTCACTGGACACTTATCCCACCCGAGCCCCCATCGGGGACCCTCCCGAATTCCCTTCCTACCTAACCTCACCCAACACCTGTCCCTACCCTGTCCCCCGAGAAGTCGAGGCGGAGGAAGTGTCTCCCCCAGTGCCTTCTTCCGTGGACATCTGCTCCTCCAGATCCATCCTCTTCCCGCCAGGACCCCCGGTCACCCCGCGCGGCCCTCCCTCCCCACTGCGCTCCGGGGAAGTCCGCCCCTCCCCCTCCGGCCGAAGCCGCAGAGCGGTCAGCCTCGGTGGCAGCAGCCAGCCAGGGAGGTGGGGCTGTGGAGGGGCCCGTTAGGAGTGGAGGGTTATGGGACCCGGGCCTCCTCTAGAATGAGAATGGGGGGAATATGCAAGTGTGAGATAGGGCTATTTGAGGGTCCCCCCCCCCCAAATCACCTGCCCTCGGGGCGACAGGGAGTGTTTGTGGCCCCCGCACATTTACCGGTGATGTACACACATTCGCCCAGAGTCACGCGGGTCCCTGCCCCGCAAGGCCGCTCAGTGTCACATGCCCTCGCAGTGCCACACGTTCCCTGTCACACGCACACTCACCGAATCACACACAGTGTCACACACGCAGTGTCTTACACATTTGGATACTCCTGTTTCTCTCGCTCGGCTCTGGCTCTCTTGCGCCATCTAGAGCTCCCGGAGCAGCTTGGGAACTCCCTTTCCTTCTTAGCTTAAGGTTTGTCTACCCCAGGCTCCCGAGTGCCCCAGTTCAACATGACCTCCCGCCTTTTGCCAGCTAGAGGTATAGGCAAGGTGTTCTAGGTCAGAAGAACGAATGAATCTGTGCCTGGCAAAGCCTGGCGCTGGGTGTGGAAAGACCTATCATGGGATGACTGGCTGCTGAGCCTCTATTTGCCATAGCTTCGAACTCCTCCTCCTTGTCCTCCCCCATTTTTCCATCCATACCACTCTTCTACCCCTTGTTTCTCCTCCTCTTCTCGTACCGGGCCTCTCTGGAACAATCTTCTGGGTAAGGGCAGGATGTCTGGCCAGCTAAGGAGGCAAGCAAGGGCTGCCTAAGATCTCTCCTAGAGCACTCCCTTTCTGGCCTTGGCCCTGATCTAGTCCCCATCCCCAGCCCTCAGCCCCAGGAGCCCGGGGCAGGGACTCTGGATGAGAGACAGGGTGAACGAGTGAGAGGAGAATCTGACCTGTGAATGGCTCCTCTCTGCCCCCCTGCAAATCTCATACTCTCCCCATCGCTGAGCACAGCTCCAAGGAAGGAATCAGTGGCCCAGAGAGAAGAAATCTCCCGCAGAGGAGCTGCCTAGCCTCCCTGCCCCCAGCATGTGCCTGCTGCCCACTGCAGCAAGCCCTCCCTGGGCTGCTTGCTGGGAGCCATTCAAAGGCTCCTCTGTTCTCCTCCCTTGCTCAGGGCTGAGCAAGATAGGCGGCCGCAAAGCTGGGCAGGAAATGCTAATCTCCCAGATGTTCTCCTTCGTCCTCCCTGTTTCACCACCATCAAACCCAAATCCTGCACGAAGTGGTAGGGGCAGAACCAGGGTGTGCCCATTCTTCTCCCTGCCCCTATCCCCTCCTACCCAGCTGCCGGGGGAGGGGGGGGGCACTGAGCCTGCAATGTAGATATGGGGATCAGAGCTGACTTGGCCAGGAAGGGGGGCTGGCAAAGGACAGGGGCTGGGTGGTGGCATTTGAAGGGGAGGGAAGCCAGCCTCCTGGCCCCATACCAAACTGGGAGGAGAACCAGGTTGGCAAGTAGAAAATCGCGGGCTCCTGAAACAGTGCCTGAGATTCCAGCTGAGACTGTGGCCTGGGATTGAAGCCTAGGGGGTGCTAGATGTGGGAGTGTTTGGGATGCTTGTGGCCTCAGGCTCTTGCTGTGACCTGGTTGTACCTGGGATGTAGCTTAGGGGACTAGGATAATGCAGGGCCTGGCTTTGTAACAGAAAAGCTGTTGCCTCTGATTGCAATTGAAAGACTGTTGTGATGCTGGGATACTGTGTGCCTAGTTTACAGCCGGAATAATTCCATTACCAAAGAGGCTGTTGCCAAGCTGTGTGTGTGTGTGTGTGTGTGTGTGTGTGTGTGTGTGTGCATGTTGCGGGAAGGGCTGTAACTGAAGTTCCATTGGGCCTGAAGGTGAGGTCATCACACCAGAGACTGTCGATAGTTGAAAACCTGTTCTCTGCTAATATGACGTAAGTGGGGCTATAGCTGGATCCATTGCCTAGGTGCTAGGAGATGAGAGGCTGTTGCTAGGAGCCTGTACTCGGGAGGAAGGCTGTTACCTGGGATAAGAACAAGCCACTGTTGTGTATAAGACTGTAGCTGGGACGCTATTGGTCCTGAGGCTATAACTGTGATGACAGCATACAGTGATTGGCTATAGCTAAGAGGCTATTGCCCAGGCTTGTGGCTGGGCTGTTACTGTAAGCAGGAATCTAGCTGGGATGCTATTATGCCTGCAGCCATTGCTCTGAAGCTGGAAGTGTAGCTGAGAGGAGGCCATTTCCTGATAATATAGCTGGACCACTGTTGTGAAGCCCGGACTACGTTGCCTAGGAGATGAGAAGCTGTTCCCTGGGATGCTGTTCTGGGAGGCAGGATGCTACCTGAGATGGGAGCTGATCTGCTGTTGAAATTGATCTGCTGTTGTGCTTGGGACAGTTCCAAGAGGCTGTTGCTGGGTCTGTGGCTGACTGGGTGGGAGAAGGCAAGTGAATTCTGCTTTGAGGTCTGGTTGATGCCAGGAGCCCAAGGCTGAGCCGGGGCCGCCACTCTGGGGAGGCTTCAGCAGCTGCTCTGCTGTGGAGCTGGGAAGCCTGTTTTCATTACTGTTTTAACTCTTTTTTTAACCTTGTTTTTCTCTCAGCTGCACTTTCGCTCACTCATTAATTTTGGTATTTTTCTCACGGTATCTCAGCCCCTGTCATGGCTGCCATGGCAACAGGAGGCAGTGTGCACAGTGCCAAAATATCTGATCAAAAAATAACCAAAATAAGCAAACACCAAAACGGCTGTGCTGGGGACTATAGTCAAGGGAGAGCCGATGGCTCAGGTCCAGGAAATCCCAGGTTCCCAACGGACGCCTTCCACTATCCCCTCTTCCCAGGGAAGCTTTAACGAACCTTCTGATAACCTGGGAAGTTCCTTTCCAAGCCCCTCCCCGCCCCTCCCCCCACAACACGTTCTCCCAGGACTCCAAGATTTCCACCTCTGCTTTTTTATTTCCATAGTCAAATCCTGACTGATGGACAGAAGGGAGGCAGCTGCAACCTCTAGGACCGCTCCCAGCTCCTCAGTGGAGGTACTAGGGAGGGATGCCGAAGAAGTGTGTGGCACTCCTAGGCTTCTGGCCACCTCCAGCCCCAGTTGCCTGGAGACATTCCTGAACAGCCCTGTACACTCACACCCACGTCAATTTCCCCTCTAATTTCCTAGGGCCTTCCAGTTTCCTGGGGGGTGGGGGGAGTGGCTCCTTTCAAGCAGGCATTTACCACGGGAAGGATGAAATGACGGAGCTTCGTGTGAGCAGAAAGAGGCAGAGCTCTTGGTACCACTTGTCTTCCTCACTTATTTGCCCACTCATTTCCCTCTGAGGGAGCGTATCCAGATGTCTGGAGCTCCTAGAACTGGAGGAGCAAGAAGGAGCCCTCAAGTCTGCCTCCATCACATCACACAATTACCCTTCCTGATGCCCCCCTCCCCCACCCACAGTGAAAGTCTCACTCTCAACAGGTTTCCTCCCCCTTCTAGAGCTCAGCTTCTGCTCCTCACTTTCCATTCCTCTCCTCTATCCCCCTCAAGAGCAGTGCTGGCCTTGGCCTCCAGGCAGAGCCTCCCTGGGCCTGTTTCTATAGAAACCGGGTAGTCTGTGCACTGCAGGAAGAGGAGGGGAGAGAGGAGCAGGGAGGAGAGACCAGACCTCAGGGCAGCCCCAGAAGAAGGAATGTGGGCACCAGAGAAGAGGGAACTGTCCCATCCAGAGAGAAGGTGGGGCCTTGATTTGGGAAGGGGAGAGAAGAGGTAGTGAAAGTTGCCTAGATTCCGTCCTCCTGAGGGGGAGCCACACAACCGCTTTCTCTCCTGGTTACAGGAAGGCGGGGTTTCTCCCCAACCCCCAATCATTTTATTTTTAACCATGAATTGCCTTATCTGGGATGGATCTTTCCCGGGAGCCAGCCGCCAGTCTGTAAGACAGGGACTATAGAATGTCTCCTCCCTCCAGCGTGCTCTGGAGTCTGGGCAGCCCCGGACCCCTTGGCCGCCGCTGACCCCGTGGCGTGCGGCTCTCAAAGGCTCCATTCATCTCTGGGGGCTGAAGGCGCCATTGTCCTTGGCGGGGGGGCGGGGAGGGGGGGGTCTCGCCTCAGAAGGAAGGAATGCGTCTGGAGAAGTTGCCCCCAGGGCTCCAGTGACCAGGTCCGCACCAGATCTCCACCGGGACCCCTTCACGACCCTGAGACCTTTCCTCACTAGCTCCCAGAAGCCTTCGCGCGTCTCCTGAGGGTGGGGACTGCGGGGCGCGGCGGGGGGGGGAAGCCTGGCCCCACCCCTCCTGCTAAC